GGGAGCACACACACAACCAAACGGTTGTCGTCACTGGAAAGAGCAAGGTGTGTGTTGCTGTGTGTCAGTTGGAGGGCGGGAGGGAAGGGCTGGCGATTCACAGGAATGGTGGAGGAAGAAACGGGGGCGAGCCACAATGCGGGGCTGTGTCGCTGCAGGTGTTTGCTGGGCAAAGCACAGGCACAAGTTAGGGTAGGAAAGTGGTGACCTTGCAGGCCTCAGTGCCATGCTTAGCGAAACAAGGCAGCAGACCCAAAAGACTTTGCAGAAGCTGCTAACCAGGAGCAGGCCTAGACCATAAGCTATTACACCAAGGAGGGCTGACGAGATGGCCATCAGTCAAGCACAAGAGCTTAGGAACACACATTAAGCACCGTGGTGTCAGCATAGCACTTTATAAACGTCATATCCGGCCGGCATGCCGAGGGAGAGGTAACTCTGGGCCCACACTAGGACGACGGTCACTGGTGATGATCCGAGGGGAGGACGATTAACACTTTGAGCCCTTCTGTATGGGATGGTGCAAGCACACAGACTCAGACACATTCAATTTCATCTTCCACTACTGGGCCGGGCCGGAGCACTGGCAACTTTCCTACGTTGATACGACGATTACAAACACACCTGAAACTGGAAGGGACCTTGAGAAGTCATCAAGTCCAGTCCCCTGCCCTCAAGGCAAGACCAAGCACCACTTACATCATCCCTGATAAATGCCTGTATAACTGCTCTTAAATATCTCCAGAGATGGAGATGCCACAGCCTCCCTAATCCATTTATTCCAGTGTTTAACCCCCGACAGAAAGTTTTTCCTAATGTCCAACCTAAACCTCCTTTGCTGCAGTTTAAGCCCATTGCTTCTTGTCCTGTCCGCAGAGGCCAAGGAGAACAATTTTTCTCCCTTCTTCTTGTGACACCCTTTTATATACTTGAAAACCGCAATCATGTCCCCCCCTAAATCTTCTCTTTTCCAAACTAAACAAGCCCCACTCTTTCAGTCTTCCTTCATAGCTCATGTTCTCTAGACCTTCCATCATACTTGTTGCTCGGCTCACTAGGTATGCAAATGAGGCTCAGTGATAGTCCATGCTTAGCCTCATTTGCATATCTCACGCAAGAAGCCACGAGTGTAGACATATCCACAAGATATTTCTTAAGTGGGAATGTTACAACCAGTGCTTTTTCGGTGATGGTACTGCCCAGTACACAGTACCGGCACCTCCAGTCAGAGCTCAACAACTTTTCCCCTGAAGTACCGGCGCCTTTATTTATTTTTTAAGACACAAAAAAAGCACTGGTTACAGCCATGCACTTCCGGGTTCCCAACTGAACGGCAGTTTTGGTAAGCCTGAGCCTGATCGAGGGACACGAACCTAGAAATCACAGTGTGTTACTACGGAATTCTTATGTAATCAATAGAATTAATGCAGGATCAATAGATCAGGCAAGAACTGGACGGGTGGAGGACTGAGGCTAGCCCGAAGGTCAGAGCAGGCACGCAGCGCTAGGAATACAGCCTGTTAATAACATTCTAGCAACGGATGACGTGGGCTACGCTGGCCCATCTGTCTCCACACACAAAGGCCACCGAGGTCTCAGGATAGGGGTCAGGTCAAACATGGGACTGTCCTGGAAATCCTGGGGAAATTGCCTTGCCCGTAAGGTTTGTGTTAACGGTCTAAGACAAAGGATGCTGAGCCGTGTGGCCAGAAGGGCTCCGGCAGAGATGTCACAGTGTTGGCCCAACCCTCGCATCTCCCGTCTGTCGAGGCGTTGATACCACGCCCATTCCCGCGGTAGCTACGCTGCTGTGTGGCTGGATGGTGGGTTGACACTAGGTCTTTGGTGCTGATGACTCTGTCCCCCCCGCCCTTTGCCCCCAGGAGGAAGCGATGTCACCCAGTCCGAAATAGCTCACTGCTGTCCTAACACAGGCAGCTTTCCCGGAGGTCTGAGAAAGAGGCTCTTGATGCCTCCCCCCCACCTGTTACCTGTAAAACTGCAGCATGAAGCCAGTGATGGCCATCCCCCCGGGCACTTGAAAGGACATCCTCCCAATCAGGTTCATCTTCTCACCGGAGTCGGGGTGGAACGCGGAGTCGTAGAGTTTCTTGGCATAGAACAGCTGCTCCTGGCTGGTGCCTGGGGGTACCAGGCCCGCCCTGCAGGTTGGAGAAAGAGCAAGGTCCTGGGAGTTTGGCTGCTCACCACCTAGTATCACCACACTCCTGCCAGTCCCAGCCTCCCAGATCACCTGCGCACACCGCCACGTGCCTACGAGGGATGTTAACGGGTACCCGAGGACACGGTTCACCGATGAGCACATGCTAGCGTGTCTCCCCCTTGCGGTGCAATACCACTGCTGAACGAGAGAGCAGATCCACCGCACGATGCTCCCATGGAGCCAGGGCAGGCTGTAAACAGTCTACCGCCTTCCTTCCGACCCAGGGGCCGCCCGGCCATTTACCTGCAGCTTTCCACCAGCACCTTCGCCCTGTCCAGCTCCTGTTCTGACACCAGCACCGTCCGCGGGTCTGTGATGTTGAAGAAATGCTTCAGGCGCCCCACAAAAGTGCTCTGGTCCCAGCGTGGGGCGTCAATGCTAAAGCTGGCCGGGCTGCTCATCATGTTAGCGCCGATCTGGAGGGGACAGAGAAAGGGGAGAATTTTTAAGAGGAAACCGTCTCCCAATCCCCCTCGAGTCCTGCCAGGCAAGCTGCCTTCGCAGCCAGCGCACCGTCACCAAACGGCCTGAGACACAAGGGGGGTGAAGGCCCTTCGTCCCGGGGCCAGCGTGAGATTAAGCCTCAGGTGGTTGCTCCCACCACCTTTGGCGCTCACTCCACTAGCCCACGCTGCCTTTCCAAGCCACGATGGTGGCCAGGCCCTGCTAGCTGATTCTGGCTCCAGCATTTCTGTGGCCACTGGCCATTCAGAAGCCAGCTTCCTTCTCTAAGAGGAGCGTGAGGTCACGTGCTCAGAGCTGGACCTCCCCTATCGCACCGCGAGAGAACGGGGCACCGAGGCGCATTGCTACGCCAGCGCTTCTCAGTATTTACCACTGTGGCCCACACACGCAGCCCTGTGTCCTGTGAGCCACAGCCACACCAGAGACGTGCTACTTCTACGGACCTGAGGATGGAAGTTCCCCTGAAAAATACCGTCTGCCTTAAATAGATACAGCCGGTCCCCGACTTACGAATGAGTTACGTTCCTCGCACTTGCTCGTAACTCAATGCGTTTGTAAGTCGGACCCCATTCATTTCAATGGGACCGCGCTGTTCGTAAGAGCGGATCACCGTTCATAAGTCGGGGCCGCTGGTCGTAAGTGAGGCTGGTCATACGTCCATGCGTTTGTAAGTCGGGACCAGCTGTATTTGTCCTGCTGACTCCCAACTGTCCAGCAGGGGAGTAAAGCCACAAGGCAGCCTTCACCGACACAATATTTACTTCCCCGATACCACAAAATGCACATTTGCGCACCACACTCCTTCCCCCCCCCCCCCCCCCCCTGCTTTTCTGCAACATTACGGTTGCTAACGCTTAGCGTTCATTTCAACAGGCCTGTCCACATTCCACGTGCGTCACTGACGCTATCGGATTAAAGGCCTCCAAACTCTCCAACTTGCTGCTGGTACGATATGAACTCTGGCACGTTGCACAGCCTGCTCATTTCACCAGAGGACGGAACAAGCAATGTCCTAAGTGTATTAAATAGTAAAAAAAAACCGGAATCTAAGACACTGAGGGTGTGTCTAGCTAGAGGGGTTTTTCAAAAAAAGTGGCCTCGTTGCGGATAGGATTCCTCGTTCCCACATGGGAGCTAACCAGCGATTTTGCAGACGAGTGCCAAACCGGGCAATCTGGCTGACGTCAGCAGACACGCCATCCCAACTCCATCCCCGACCTGTGCACTCCACAGCGCTCGTTTCTCCAGGTGCCAAAGTGCCTTTTGAAATGGACAGGCTTCTGGCCACTGGGCCCAGCCACTACTCCAGCAGCTGCCCAGTGCTGCTGTCCTGCCTCGGGTCCTGATCAGCCTGGAGGCTTTGTGGAAGGGGGCATCAGAAGGGGAGGAGACAGCTGCTACGGGCTTCTAGCTAGGGATGATGAACACAGCCCAAGACTTCTTTCCAGAACATCACTGGCAAGTACCCGGTGGCTCTTTTTTCCACTGCTACAGGGGCTTTGATTCAGCCAGCCAGCTACAGAATCTCTCACCTACAGGCTGCCTCCCACCTCCTCTTCCTGCAGAGCCACCAATGGCCAACCACCTGTGAGTGGCAGGGCTCGGCCATGGCAGGAGAGATGCAATGCACCCCACTCTCCCTGGGGAAGGAGCAATGCAGTCCAGTGGCCAAAGCAGAGAGCTGGGAGGAAGCAGGTTGAGCACCCGGCCCCGGCAAGATCATTGAGCACCCTTGGGCACAGCTGGAAAAAATTAAAAAGAGCCATTTGAAAAATGTGCAGCACCAAATCTGGTCCCAGTGGGGGAAACATCGAGCCGGGGGAGAAGAAACGTTTTGTTTTTCCAGTCTTGCTTATCACGGCGACCCACGTTAAAAGCCCATGAAGGCCCCTAATTATTAATCAGCACTTCGTAGAGAATCCAAGGACCTTGTACTGTGCATGGCAATGTGACTTGCAGTTGCACGGCTAGGAAACAACCCGCCACGCTGAGACAAGCTTACAGGGGTCAGCGCTGTGCTTGACCTCTGAATAAATATTAAACTCCCTTTATTAATGGACATCTCTCTCAACATGCCTTGGGCATTCTATTGCCCAGGGGCCTGATCCAAAGCCCACTGAAGTCAACAGGGCTCTCATGTTCATTTCAATGGTGTTTGGCTCAGGTCCATCGGGAAGGAAGGGTGTACACAGTACCACATGCCATTCTTCTAGAATTCCAGACCACGTCTCCCTGCCTGGATTATGAGAGGCCATACTCAGAGCAGTCACCAATGGTCTGCTGTCAAACCGAGAGGCTGTATTTAGTGGGATTCCACTGTGGTCAGTCCTGGGTCCAACACGATTTAATATTTTCACCGATGACTCGGCTAATGGAGAGGAGAGCATCTTTATGAAACAGGCGGAGATCACCTGGCAGGTGTTTGGAGGCCAGGATTCAATTAAATTGACCTTGACAAGTTGGTTTGAATTCACCAGCGTGACACTCACTTAAAGACAAGCACAAAGCACTTCACTTCCAAAGAGGGGAAAAGTCAGCTACAAAGCGGGCAGTAACAACTAGCTAGGTGGTGGCTGTTCTGAGAAGTATCTGGGGTTAGAGTGGATCACAAACTCAAGTATGACTCAGCTGCAAAAAAGGCAACATTGTGAGCTGCGTGCAAAGGAGGTCAGTGTTTCGCTCTGCTCTGGCCAGCACTGGGGAGGTCCCAGGTAGAGTACTGCATCCAGTTCTGGGTAACACGCTTTAGGAAAGATGGAGAGAACGCAGAGGAGAGCAACAGAAGCGATAAAAGGTTTGGAAAAACCTGACCTGTGAGGAAAGGTTCCAAAAGTTGGGAAAAGAATACTGAGCCAGGACCTTGTGCAGTCTTCAATACATTAAGGACAGTGATCAGGAAAGGTTCCAAAAGTTGGGAAAAGAATACTGAGCCCGGACCTTGTGCAGTCTTCAGTACAGTAAGGACAGTGATGAGGACCTTGTGCAGTCTTCAATACATTAAGGACAGTGATCAGTTGTTCTCCAAGCCCACTTAAGGCAGAGCAAACAGTAACTGGCTTTATTTGCAGGAAGGGAGCTTTAGACTCATAATACTGAAACTGGAAGGGACCTTGAGAAGGCATCAAGTCCAGTCCCCTGCCCTCAAGGCAAGACCAAGCACCATCTACATAATCCCTGATAAATGCCTGTATAAATCCGTTTTTAACCACCCTGACAGGAAGTATTTCCTAATGTCCACCCTAAAGTTGCCTTGCTGCATTGTAAGCCCATTGCTTCTTGTCATATCCTCAGAGGCCATGGAGAACGATTTTTCTCCCTCCTCCTTGTATAGCTCATTTAGGTACTTGAAAAACACTATCATGTCCCCTCAGTCTTCTCTTTTCCAGACTAAAACCCAATTCTTTCGATTCTCGCTCATAGGTAAGGTTTTCTAGACTTTTAATCATTTTTATTACTCCTATGGACCTTCTCCAATTCCGCCACATTTTTCTCAAAAAATGGTGGCCAATACTCCAGTTGAGACCTAATCAACGCAGAGTCGAGCAGCAGAATGACTTCTCGTGTCTTGCTCACAACACTCCTGTTAATGCAGCCCAGGTTGATGTTTGTTTTTTATGCAGCCCTATCGCACTGCTAATTCATATGTAGTTTATGGTCTATGACCCCTACATCCTTTCCTGCCCCTTCCTAGACAGTCACTTCCCATTTTGTACATGTGAACAGGATTGTTCCTTCCTCGGTGGAGTACTTTGCATTCGTCCTTGTTGCGTTAGCTTTTAGGAATAGCTTTCTAACCATACGAGTAGTTCAACTTTGGGAGAGGTTTTCAAGGATGGGATTCCACAACCCATCACTGGAGGCTTGAGAGACCAGGTTGGCAAAGTCATGTTTCACAGATGGTCTAGGTTTACCTAGTTCTGGGTAGCAGCCGCCTTCTCCCCTCTGGAGGTTAGAAATTCCCCCTTTCCCCTTCTGTGGGCCACAGAAGATGCATCATAATCCAACTCAATATTTTGGGAGAGGTTTTCAAGGATGGGATTCCACAACCCATCACTGGAGGCTTGAGAGACCAGGTTGGCAAAGTCATGTTTCACAGATGGTCTAGGTTTACCTAGTTCTGGGTAGCAGCCGCCTTCTCCCCTCTGGAGGTTAGAAATTCCCCCTTTCCCCTTCTGTGGGCCACAGAAGATGCATCATAATCCAACTCAATATCCGGTTTCTTGTATATTAAAAAGATCAGCAAGCAGAGAGGAAGGGGTGTTGAGTGGGTGGCTCCCAGTAGAGGAATCGGGGGCTGGGGGGGGGGAAGAGCACTCAGGTGAGGATTTCACAGCTGCCGTGGGACATATTGTCCAAAGCCAGGAAAGGAAGTTTCCCTTCAGTTCCACCAAAGGAGAAACTGGCTCATGCCAACATTCCACCACCCGCAAAGATGCGGCAAAGTTACGGCGGACACAGCAGAAACATGCCACCAAGCAGCTGATATGATCAAAATGCCACTAACTTAACAGAGCTTGAAACAGCTGTGTGGAGTGCAGGGGAGGCTGCCTTTTCAGGACACTGATTTAAATAAAGCCAGGCTGTCAGAAATAGGGATGTTAAATGGCATTTAGTCAGCTAAATCAAGTAGACCATGGAGGGGCGGAGGGAAGGGGGGAATTCCAGAGCCACAGTTAGACCCGGGAGATAACTCTGCTGTAGAGTTGCCTTTTAAATGTATCAGAGTCTCACTTTATGAGATATTTCAGATGATCCTGGAGCTTGCAGCTCCACTCCCAACCAATGCCTCTTCATTACCCCAAGCATGCTTAGAGAGTCACCAGTTGCACATATTCCCAGGGCAGTCAATGCTTCCAGCTGGCCTGGGCTTGAAAAGATTCCTGCTCTTGCAACAGAGGACTTTGCTTGCAGGGTTTCAAGGAGCCTCGGGGCCAGTCTTTGCCCTCAGTCC